TGGCCCACCCAAAAAAAAAAAAAAAAAAAAAAAACATACATGTACTTAAATACCATAGGATAATTACACAATTTAGATTAATCACTGTTGAACATTACAGGAAATGTAGAAAGATCTGCACATTTTTTTACATTCCTTTAACAGTAGAATGCTTTAAACACTGCTCCGCTAAAATACACACATGGGGCAAGTGTAGTAACACTGGTACATACATCTGCATTCATGCACTATGGGTTATTGTATTATGACCATCATAAGTGCTTTGTTCATTAGCTTGCTGAATAAAGGCAACTTGGGTTTGTAATATATGCAATTTCCATACTCATTCCCTCTGATGCATGCTTTGCGGATACTGCACTACGGAAGACGGCGAGAGATAATGTGGAAAATGTCAGAGGGCGTTGGGAATGAAACAGTCCGATTCCAGGTGGGACAGGATATGAACACTTTTACAGATTCAGCCTGACGCTTACTGTGTAGAAGGGAATGACCGCCACCCCCACCCTCTAATACTCATTTTCCCTGGCAATTGGATGCTTTAGGACAGTGGTGGTGAACCTATGGCACGCGGAGGCCCCTCTAGTGGCACTCGAGTCTAGGCAGGGGTGCCAAATTCTTATCGTCCGACACAGGTAGTTCCGTGTGTCGGGCAGGTAGTGTTTTTTTTTAACATTTAGCCCTGCTTCAGGCAAGCAGGGCTAAATGTAGAGCAGGGAAGCCAGCTCATTTAGTACAAGTGATCTTGGCGATGCTGCAGAGATCACTTGTATGCAGTCTGCAGGTCAGTTCTCCCCCCATGGTCTACACCTCCCCTCCGACTGCTGCCTCTAATCACCAGCTGCCTCCCTCCCCGCGGTTTTCTGGATCCCCACTCTTCTGGGGGACCCTGGACCATGGCAAAGTAGTTCAGGATGGAGAGCAGGGAGCAGAGTGGAGAACGTCCGTTCTTCATTCTGCTCCATCTGAACACTGAGACAGGACAGCTGCACTCGCAGCCTTCCCATTTCAGCTGCCAGCACAGTGCTGTGCTACTCCTGTATTGGAAGTTACAGGTTCATTAAAGAGAGTCCGTCACCTCCAAATGCGATCACACAGGGGTTTTTTAGCCCCTGTGTGATAGCAACAAAGTCAAGTGAAAAAGTAAAAAAGTAAAAAACAAAACAAAAAAATAATACATTAAAAAATAAAATTTTAAAAAATGTGATAGAGTAAATAAAATAAAAAATAAAATGTTTCAATGTTTGAATATATTTGTGTTTCACTATTTTGCCTAAGGCAGTGATGCTGAACCTTTTTTAAACCCCAGTGGGCAAACTTAAATTCAATACCAAACTCATTTTCAGTGTTGGCACTTTGAAATAAACTGATTTTGCGTTACAGTTTGGGCACTCAGGCTCAAAAACTTTAGCCATCACTGCTTTAGGAGAACCTGTCACTTTTCCTTGAATGGACAAGTGAGACTTTCTCTTTAAAGCTCAAGTTTAATGTACACATATAATACATTACCTTGTTCCGCTAGCAATCAACATGCAATTCAATTTTCAATCAAATGATTTTAATTTCATGAGAAATAAATACATCTTAGTAAAAATAGATACAATGTAACAATTCAAGGGAACACTGGAGGGCATTAGAAGATAAATGTAACCATTTCTACTACAGGATGCCCAGTCATCCCAATTCCTGAAGCAGCGCTTCAAACCATGCTCTTCTGATTACACTGTATTGGAGTCCTACAGGCCGTGAATAGACTGTGTGTGCATTTTATGCCAGCTACAGTGCCCTGATCTTAGCATCCTGCATACTTGTTCTGGGTCAATGACACACTAGGCAATGAAGCCAGGATCAGGACGAATAATCTGAGTCGGCAGCTTCTTTATCCTCACAGAGTCACTAAAAGTTTCTTTAGCTACCCCCATAAATACAGAACAAATGAAGACTTTACATAAAAATTTTAATTTCACCTTCAAAATGTTGGTCACTCCTCAACATAGATGGGTCAACAAAGTATTCAAGAAACACGTAGGATGAAATGGAACCAAGAAGAACGGTGCCGAGGAATGCAGATACAAGACAGTTAAAAAACAGCCTATAAAAGGAATAATACATTTTTAGCACATACACCATGTTAAAACCAATAGGAACATCACAATAACAAGGCAATTTGGTCAATAAAGTACAAATTTCCCAGCAGCTGTAAAAGATCTATCCTTTCAAATATTGTTCTGTGTCTCAGTCCTAGGTTACATCCCCATGCAAAGCCACATTTCCCATTAGTAAATGGTCCATTTTCTACCACTTGACAAATGTCTGAAGCATTTCATCCTCATGCCTGAACTCTTCATCTTCAAACCTCAATGCATGGAACTTGAAAGTGTCAGAACCACAGAGTCAGCTAATTTTAATAGTTTTAAACTTGTTATCTTTTGTCATTCGTTCTAGCAATCTCTACATATTCCGTGTTCAGTACATTCCTAGAAATTTCTCTTATCCAAAGCATCAGCTGGTGTGCAGAATAATCATGCAGGTTATGGTGAGAAGGTACTAAAACTATAAAAAAGCCATCACACTAGTCCGTGTGTAACACAGTAAAGCCTTCTTAAACCAGAAGGTATTGGTTATAGGCATTTCCAGAACATCCAAGCTGATGTGCAGAATTATGTACATTAAATATAATGAAGAACTACAGCTACTTAGAGCACTATATAAAATCATATACAATTTGAAAAACGAATTCCTAATTTTACTACTAATTTCGTGGGGTTTTTATTCTAAATTATTTCCAGCCATACAAAAATAAGCTTTGAAAATATTGTTAATTAAGTCTCTTTAACCACTTGTCTACCTGGTAGCAAGGCTTTTCAGACACACTGTTGGCTGTTATAGCATACCGGAGTGTGTTTACATTTCACAAGCCTAATGCATTCAGATGGAAGTGATTTGGGTGCTGTTAAATAGACTGATCACATCCATACCCCCATGAAGGTGATGCCCTTGCCATGCATACGGGGTTCCACCACACCTTCTGCGGACCCAGGATGGGCATGGCTGGTGTTAGCATGTGGAGCTGAGGGAGGTCAACAAACATCCGTTTCCTGAACTCCTCTCTGGTGAAGGAACCCGAAAGTAACAAGGCTTTGATCACTTCCGGGTACACAGTGGTCATTCCCCAGCCATTGTAGCTGGGGAAGAAGCTGATTAAGCATGTGTGCTTGATCAGCTTCAGTGGGGTGAACAGGTGACATTAGGGGTGTAACAAACCCCTAAAATCTCCTTAAAGAGGACCTGTTATTTCCACTATGCTATCACATAGGAGGAAAATCGGTAATGTTAAGTGTAGCCCCAATGTACACACACATGCATACACAAACACTTGTGGGGTGTGCCTACGTACAATGCAGTATTAGTTTTGACAGCAAATTTTGATTTAGTCATAGGGTCTATTCGCGAAGCTGCCGAGGGCAGCCGAGTGAATGACCGATCTGAAGTTAAGGGAACCAAACACTGTTCGGCTATTCACTTCAGGCTGGTACGGCTGATTTCAGCCGTATATCGCTGAAATCAGCCGTACATTGGCTTGCTTCGTGTGGCTTCGGGTCGGCCGAACATGCTCAGCATTGGCCGCTGATCTCTCTGAAGGTGCCCGGCGCCAGCCGTAAGATCACGGCTGGCTCCGCCCAGCTGTCAGAAGCAATGGCCGGCCGCTCGGTCAGCTTCGGCTTTCAGCACGGCTCAGCTGAGCCGATGCATATGCGTTCCGCTCGGCCACGATCGGGAGCTGTACGGGCTATTGTGAATAGCACGTACAGCACCCCTTCGGTTCTACTGAACCGAAGGGGTCCTGGGGCCAAAGCTAGCCAAAGGATCGGCCGAAGCTACGGCCAGATCCTTCGGCAGCTTCGTGAATAGACCCCATAGTCTTTTGACTAAAATGCCATTTAGTCATATTTTAGCCATCTGAATTGTTGTAGTTTAGTTTTAGTCGGCTAATTATAATAAAATGTTAGTCAACTAAATCTACAGTAGATTTAGTTGACTACTAAAATCGAGTGTGTTTAGTTAAAGAGTAATTTAAGAATTTCATTATATACTCCTGGAGTAAACATCTGTTAACCTGTTATTACTTATGGAATTAAGGTTTGAACATGCAATAGACACACATTTAACTGTTGTGATATATACCATGTCTTTATTTATTTTAAAATTAGATTAAACCAAGTCTTCTAAAGAAACAAGAATATGGAGTATTTTCAACAAAGGACCAGTAATTAGATATGTATTGACTATAACAACTTGCATATGACATTCTTCATGTACAGTACAACTCTAAAATATTAAAATGAAAAACTATATTGGCTGTAATGCCATTGCACATATTACCTATTAGCTGTCCATTCAGGATGGAACGGGAAGACCAAAGAGATTAGTTCTGATTGGATCTCTTCCCAAATCGTCTCCCCTTAACATTTTAGTCTAGTTTTAGTTAGTCGACTAAAATGTCAATATATTTTCCTTATAGTCATCATAACTTAGTCTTTATAAAATTTTAATCACTGAAAAAGTGTTGACGAAAACTATGAGGAAAATTAGTAGTTGATGAAATGAATACTGGTACAACAGTGTTTGTGTCACACATGTGAGGTATCCCTGTGCACGCAATGAAATCATTCTAGGGTCATTATTCACAGTTTGCTCTAATCTGATGACCTGTACAGGCTTATGAAGAGTCACCTATTGACAATTATGGATACCAAAGTTTGTCGCCGTTTCATGGGCGCACACAATTGTAAAGGTGCCCATACACTGCACGATTCTTGTACGAGAATCGCGGGAAATCCCGCGATCGTACGACAATCGTACCGTATCGTCGCACGTATTTTGTCTAAGGAGCATGATAGAAAACCAGCCGAAAATCGTATGATTTTCGGCTGGTTTGAATGATGCTCAGGAGACAAATGCCGAACAGGCCGGTGTTGCACGCCCGTTCAGCATTGCGGTCATCAGAAGCCCGCCCCTCAGGGGGGCGGGCTTCCGATGATCGCAAGCACGATCTGCCTGTCCAAGATGGGCAGATCGTACGTTTTTTTTTAATTACTTTAAAACCATAGTCTTGCGATGGTTGTAAAGTGTATGGCCACCTTTAGGCTTGTCATGTTTGGAATCTATATACCACTTTTATACAGTACATTATAATAAATTGGGGATTATATTGTGTTTGTGTGCACTGAAATTAACTTTAGTGTATTTTTTTTTTTTTTTTTTTTTTACAGAAAATGTGGGTTTCATAAAAAGTTGCACTAATATTATGTGCCATAAAAAAATTGCAACTACCAGCATTTTATTCTACATGGTCTCTGCTTTTGGAAACTATATAATTCTGGGGTGGTTTAACTAATGTTCAGGCATAAAATGTGAATTTAAACGTGTGCACAAAAAGTAAAAAATGGCTATTGAAGTGGTTAATGCGTTACAGCTCATCATTCGTGATTGAAATCTATAGTCATTCAATTTAAGGATTCCGGGACCATATACATGCAAGCTGAAGGCTGTGTGCAGTCATATAGGTCACAAAGCTCACAATCAGGGCAGATGTTGGTAAAATCATCCATATATGTATTGGGGCACTTACCAGTAATTTTTGCCTCCCACACAATTATTAAGCCATTTGCAGTGGTGATCAAAACTACTGACACACTTATTGCATAAACTGCAGTGCTTGGATTTGGCACCCCTGTGGAGACAAATAGGTGTTAAAAGCGTGTATAGTACAAGCAGAAAGAAGATGAATACATTAATGATGCATGGACATGAAAATGAAACAGCACTGGAAAACAGGACATTGGAGACCTCTCCCTACACAGGCACATGGAGAACTATGTTCAACAATACAGTACACCAACATGAATTCAAAGAGAATAGGATGACCATATTGCTGATCCCAATACTACCGTATGCTAAAAAGTTTGGAACAAATTTTTATATTTTCAACTATTTATCTTCTTACTTAGCTGCCTAAAATTGGCTGAGCACAGGATTTTTTGACAAAGATTCTTAAACTTAGCATCATCTTAATGATCATAAATAGGGATGCACAGATACTTTTCGGGTACCAGTGCAGATACTTGGCATTTTCATGAGAACTACCAAGGTTGCAGCGTTTGCAGCTGGGACCTGGCTCTGGCGCTCCACCACTTTCCTGAAATCATTAGTCTGTATTGTTTTAGAAAAACTGTCACATGACAATAAACAAAAATGTATCAGTACTCGTACTTGTAATTACTCGACAAGTACCAATACTCGTAAAAAATTGTCAGGGGTGCATCCCTTTATTTATATTCATAAAAACAAAATCGTACATAAAACAGAGATGTACAAATCCCAAGAGCTCCGTGTGTTCCTCACAAATGACAGCTGCCTCCCAACTTTTGAATTTTTCTCTAGTCTAGTCTTGGAGCTCAAAAGTATCGGTACATGTACTCGGTATGGTATCTGTGCAACCCTAAGATTCATAAATGAAAGAAAAGATTCTAATGTTTATTATTTTATACTACTCATACAGTTCAGTAAACAAATGCTTTTATTAATAACAGTTGGAAGAATATTTCAGCCAATATCTGTCTTCAGCTATTGTTCATATATTAAATGCGTGACAAATACCCCATCGCCCCCAACACTCACACTCACGACA